ACTAAGGATGTTGCTGGACCAGGAAGCCTCAGATGAAAGAGATTCAACCTATACAATGTTCATTAAGTACAAATTATACATTATACCTATTTAATAATTATCATTGTACTAAAATATTTATGTTAAAATTATAATTCTTTCATAGAAAAACCTCTTCAAAAAGGTCCATTTCTAGATGTGTATTTCAACATGTAGATGCCTTTTGGATAATTTAGTGGGAAGTAACTTGCATCTGAAATTTTCATCCATCTTAATTTCTCTTGAAATACATTCAAACCACTGATTCTCACGCATGTATTATGGGAAAAATTGAATCAACATCTATGTGAACTCAAAATGAACTGCAAGCTTATTACAAAATTTAAGTATACCATATAATTTATTATAATAATAATTAATAATACAATAATTTAACTATATATTACCTTTCTTCTAACAATTTCACCATTTCAAATAGTAATTTGCTCCATAATAGCATATGAGATGTATAAATATTACACTCAATTTACAAAAGGGTAAAAACTGAAGTGTAGAGAAGTTAACCAAAGTTACACAGTGATTTTAATGTAAGGAACTTGAACAGAACCCAAAGTTCCTAATTAACAGTCCCCTGTTCTAACCACTTATACAAAAGGCACTGATCCTACACTGGTGATATGCTCTGAGTTCCTAGCAGAGAGAGAGAAATAAAATAGATATACAGCAGCTAACTGCAAACATGTTTTTATGAAAATTGTCCAACAACTCAAGATTAAAGTAACCAAACTAACATGCGTGTAACAGAAGAACTGTAGATCTAGGATATAAGCCTCACACTACCAGATCACACTTTCTAACATACCACATGTCATTATCAATTCATGTGTAACACATGTACTTTCTACATTGCCAAAGAATAACACAATCAAAGATTTAAAAGTTAGCCGTCAGCATTTTTGTATACAAATAGTCAACCCTCTCTAGTTTTGACAAATCCAATAGATAAATATTAATATATCCTTAATCTTCTACTAGCTTATTAAACCAACACAGATCTTAATGCTAAGCAGAACCCAAAGTAGCCATTATTTTAACACTGAAATTAACATTGCCAAATATCTGTCCAGTCCTCCTCCAGTTAAGTTTGATTTAATCATACTAGCTGTGATTAGCCAGATTAGACTGTCTTCCCCATACCATCGAGTGTATGGAAAAAAACATCTAACAGTGCTTTGCAAAACCCCCATGTTTTGGCTGTGTTCCTTTGGGTGTTGAGCTCTTCCCATACATTTTGTGTTAGTAGGTAACTTTTGGCAATTCTAAACTCCAGCTTCAGAGGCTGATAGAAAATAACAGAAAAAAATCCTTTGATATAGTCAGTTCAAGAAGTTATAATTGAATGGATCTCATGCTAACCTCTAGTAACATATCTACAGAAAATCTGCTGATAAAAACGAAGTGTTATGTCCACTGAAGGAAAAGGAGGTATACATTTTTCTTCAGGTCCAACTTGCTCTTCAAGGTCATCTGTGAAATAGGAGCCAAATATCAGCACACCTTTGACTAATTCCTTCCTTTCAGCCAGCAAGTGTGCTTTGGTCTAGGTTAACTAGCAGCAACCAAACTAAAGTATAACAACTTTAATGCCCTCATAGTGCATAGAAGCATACAAACAATAAAAGTAATGTATGTGCTTCAGTACTCTCTGGGAACAGTGTCATGTTATTTGCATGTCAGTAGCTCTGCTTATGGTGAACATCAAGATTATGACGAACATCCTGCATTTTACAGAATACTTGCAAATGAAGAAAATACTACAATGGTAAACAGATGAGCTTTAGGATATAGGGAGAGGTTTGTTACAAATTCCCTTCAAATGATATGCTCAAGACTAAACAAAACTAGGAAAGCATGTCTAAATGCATAGCATTTTACCATAATCAGTGCTTCCACATACTTTGTGGACTCTTCTGTTATTCCAGAATCTAAAAAAATGTATCTATGGGAAAATTTGTTTAAATCACATAATTTAAGTGATCAGATTGTGTTCTTATACAATACAGACCATGGGTTTTTTTTGGGGGGGGGGGAAGGGAAGGGAGAAGAGCGGAGAAAAATAGTATAATCTACCACAACACATTACATTTTATATGTGCCATTCATCCTGCTTCAACCCTCTGCTTTATTCTAATGATTTCCCAGCATTGTTTATAAATCTGCTAATTACTGGAAGTTTTAGAGGATTATATGATATAGGAGTAAATTAGAAAGTCTTTATGTGAAAAAAAGATATTTTGCAAAACCTCACAGTAATACGTATGCCATATGGTGTACCAGTCTGTTAAGAAGCTGTAATATATAGCTTCCCATTATGACTCCTTCAACGAGTTGATGCGTGCACAAATTTTCAGTGCAGGTCCCAGCTTAATGTTCATTGCACTCATAAGGTGATCCTCTTTCAACAAGAGAAGGGCCTGTCCATCGATCTCTTGTCCTCTAAATTCATCTGCTATATCTTGACAACCTGCAATAGATAAGACATCATTGGTTAGAACTAAAAGCTGAAAGATGCCATTTGCTTTGTGTACACCGGAATTTTTCTGATTCATAATTCCCAATGGCTGCATTTTTCATTATCAGAAGTTGTAATATAAATGAGAGTTAGAGAACAATTGCAAAAGCTCCTGAGTTCATCTGAATTTTATCTATATTACAGCATTGACAGGTGCTATCACTGGTGCAGCTGTGCCCATTACAAATTAAAAATCCTAGTGTAAATCAGGGCAATCTGCTTACAAGAATGATTGCTGTGATCTCAGAGTTCTCTGAAAATATCCGATGCAAATTAGAGAAACACCAATTAAATAAACACATAATCCATCTGGGTTTTCTCTATCAAGAAAAAAAGGACACATTAATATTCTGCAGGTGCAAACAGCTCAAATCCCAGAGGCTCAGAAAAATAACTTACCTGTAATAGCTGCAATTTTTGTGTTCAAGTGTGCAACTCTGTTGACATAAATTTTCAGAATTTTTAGCTATGAAGTTTTAGTAGAACTCCTCAACAAAAATAATTAATATTACAGGCATTGATCAAAGTGCATACTCTACATCCAAAGAAGGAAAGATAACTCATCTCCATTGAGATACCAATGAACTAAGGTAACAGAGTGCCTTGTTTGAGGGGGGCCATAATGTTGCATTTCCAAGGTTTCTGTTTTCTTTCTTTCCTTAACTAATATTTTCGAAAGGCAACAAGCACTCAGCTCACTGACACACAGCTGAAACCTTAACACAGAAAACTGGGATGATCAATGGGAAAGACTGTATCCAATAATGAACACTCTTCCTCACAGAGTAACATTGGGGGAAAAAATGATCGAGAGATGTAATGAACAGTTTTCCTAATTCAGTTATGTGGGGAATTCTGTTATATTCCAAACCGACCTGCAGAATTGTTGCTATTTCAATTCCAGACCAGGCATCTATTAAGGAAGGGGTGGTCAACGCGCGGCTTCTGAGCTGCATGTGGCTCTTCACCTATGAAAGTGTGGCTCGTGAAACTGCCCCATGTGCCCCTAAAAACGGCCCCCAGTCCCGTGTGCTCACCAGGTGCAGGAGAGCCATCCGGCGTGGCAAGATGGTGTCGGCAAGATGGCTATGGGAGCCTGATGTGGCCAAAAAGCCACGAGTTTTAAAGGAGTAGCATCCTTTTTATTGATCAATAACTCTGTCTGGTGAGGATCTATTGCCTTTTTTCTTTGTTTTGCTCAACAATTCTGGTGCGGCTCTTCACATTTTTTCCGCCGCTGTTTCTGCTCTCTTCGTTTAATGGCTTGGCCACCCCTGTGTTAAGCAGAAACTGTCTATGTAAATTAAGTTAAATTGTATGGTAGCAATGTCCTATGAAAAATGTAGAAATGTCCTCTAGCAACTAGAAGACACTCATTTTCAGTTGTGATGAAGATTTTCCTTATATTTCCTATTTTTATGGCATTAAAATTAGTACACTTATTTTCTTAATCCACCTGTCTGACACATTTCATCCTATAGTCTTTCAGAGTTCTCCCTTAATCGTGCATCCCGCCCATTTTAATAAATACATTTATTTACTCAAATTTTACTTAATGTTTTTGGCCTTTCCCCTTTATAAGGAATCCATACAGTTAATGGGGAAATCCTCAACAGAGAAGTCCCTATTTGTGTTCTGAACAGAGTCACTGTCTTTTCTAGGATGAGAGCAACTAGTTGTAATTTCATATTTAAATTCTATAAAAGAATGAATATTGTCCTCTTTTCAGTCTGATTTATAAATGAGCAAAGGACAGTAAATAGGAGGTGAAGAGGTGTTGGTTCAGCTTAAGTGGAGTGTTACAGTGTATGAAAGCAATAAAATTCATGAGCTGAAAAAGGAAGCTCTCTATAGAGAGTACACCCAGTTTCTACTTCCTTTTTTGTACTCTATACACAGATGTGATTATGTACCAAATCAATTAACACTTTATTAAAGAGAAGAATGAGTTATGGAGATTAGAGGACAGCTGAGCAACAACTCACTTGATTCAGAAACAAGAACGTTTTGATGTCTTCAGGAACTTTAAGCCACAACTCAGTATCACAGTAATTAAGATAGCTACTGTAAAGCTAGAGAACATCTTCTATGTTAACTGTCTGTATAGTACTTACCACAAGGGTGCCTTGACAGCTGTGTTGGCCACGGTTCACCATTCCTGGCCAATGGGAGCTGTGGGAAGTAGAAGTCCAGCCCACTTCCTGCAGATACCATTGGCTGGGAATAGCAAGCAGCCATACCATGTGGATGTGCAGGTAAATAAAGTGTCTGGCAGTCTATCAGAGCCTAACCCTGGGGAACCGTGTTCAGCCTGTGGGCCGCTTATGCTCATTTCTGCTATAAAGATTCGTATTTGTAGAATGAATGTAACTAAAACTGTCACAAGTACACTGAAAAGTAAATACTTCTGTGAAGGATCCTATGTTTGCCATGGGATCAAAACATGGCAGTTGACAGGCACTTACAGGGATGGACAAGAACAAATGCATATTAATCCTGTTAGAAAAGATTGCCTGTTTTTTACAAGGTTAGCTTTATCAGACGCCTACATAAGAGTTTAACTAAGAAGCCCGTTTTTAACTTAGTTTTCAAAAATTGAGGGATTCGAGTTTGGACTATTTCAATTCCTTCACTCAAATATATGCTATCATTCACAGCTGGCAAAATAGTATACTGCATCATGTAATGAGCATTTGGGGGGTTATATAAAAACCACTAACCTTGGAACAGTATATGTGAAAGTGGAACATCTCTGGAAGAGCATATGCCACAGCAGATCCAACAGTTCTTCCTCTTCTCCAGGAGAAATTTGTGGCAGTAAAAATGTAACAGAAATCAACAGTCCCTAAAAAGGCGCCAAAAGAATTCAGGAAAAGCTATATATAGAGGCCAGGTGAAGACACCCAATTCTGTGTTTAGATTTCAGTTCATGGACTTATTTAGAAGGCCCACAGGTGTCTAAAGGATTACTAAAGAAAGAAACTGACAAATTAATGATGTATAACAAGACTGAGGGCTTGAGTGCATTAGATTCATAACCCAAAATAACATATGTAGTCCAATTACTATTCTGATATTTTCCTATACAAAGGTTCAATCACCTCTGCCAATTCTATTTGTAATCTAGAAGAACTTCGTCTAGAATAATGCTCGAAAATATATTAAAGGTGTGACAAGAACCAGGAAGTGTCCAAAAGATAAGTGTCCATATAGTAATAAAGAAGCTTTTTGGTAAGTTGGGTCCATCATTTGGATATCTAAAGGCCAATAATTTCCAAAGAGGGCAGAAAACAAGACCTTACACTTGATTGAAAACTAATGGTAATGGTAGAAAAAATTTCTGATCAAGAGTGATTTAAATTCAGAAATCAACATGTTTATCAAACACATATGTGGAACAGATTAAGTATTCTGCAGAAACTTCTTCAGATAATTGTTTCGAAGTAGAGAATTGTACATTAGTATTTTAAGAACAGTGTTTTGTTTAGCATAGTTGCACAGGAATTTCTCATGCCTAGACTGCTCTGCATGTTTTAAAAATATATTATAGGATGAACCAAGGTAGATAATACAGCTTATTATTCATCCACATATAGTCACCAGAAGGAATGTACATCAAGGGTAGCTTATGTGGATTTAAAACTTCTACCTCTTTATAGAATCATCATTTACTGTCACAGATTAAGTTCTTCTACTAAATTTGATTTACTTTACAAAAGACTAGTGGCAAAATGGCAAGTTTAATTTCTCAGGGATGAAGGTATTTTCCCACAGAAAATCATCCTACTAGAATGCTTGTGTTTCAAGAGAAATTGTTTGATATCACTATAAATCCCAGAAGCGATTAAGCTAATAAGAACAGAATCAACTTGAGTTTCAATGTGCAGAGTTGTAAGTGGCATATTTTGTTGAGAGAAGAATCTTAGATTGTGTCAGGTTGTGAGGTAGGCCTCATTACCAGTGAAGATATGTGCTTGGGCAAAACTACATTCCCCAAAGGGGAAGCAGATATGGGAGCTAATCATAGGAAGAAAATGCCAAACAAATGTAAAATCATAACTTTGAACACTGAGATAAAAGAGAAAATATGTAAATAATGAGACAAGAGATTAATTCTAGATACTAGAAAGGAATATTACAATTGTATGTATGAATTCTAATACATGCATACCTAGAGGCTACATAGAAAAGGCTCTCTATTTCTCTATTTTTTTGTATGAAAAGTGATACAAACTATGGATTTGATTTTATATAGGACTTTTTTTTATAAAATCTATCTTTTTATATATAAAGATCTTTAATATTAATTTTTCAATAATATATAATGAAAGAAGAGCCCCTTTCTTGCTTTCTCTTTTAAATGAAGAACAAGTAAGGAAGGAAGAGAATAGAAAGAGAGAAGCATAAAAGGGAGTAAGAGTGTCTGATTCAATCTCTCTACTGACCTCTTGAGAGAAATCAGACTGAAGGGAGGAACACCTTTACTCTCCATCAGCTGGGATGCCACAGCAGAGGTGAGACTAGTTCTATCGACATGGGATTTGGAGGGGAAACCCAGTTCTGCTGAGGGAACAAGCAAGAGGAAACAAATCACTTTACAGCCTCTACTACCAATTAACTAACATCTGAGTCCTGTTATACTACCTCTCCATCATAATCATACTAAAAAAAGTAAAGAGTTTCATTGTTGTAAAACGGTAAAAAAATGAAAATAGTATGTTTTACATACCAGGCAAAGAATGTATGAAGGCCCAAACTTCATCAACTGTCCACATTGCTGGGTTGGCTTGCACAGATGGCAGCAAGTCAACATTCTCTGGCATTTTCCTAATTTTTAGTTCCCTAAGTTCACGCTCTCCTTCCCTCTCACTATGTCTTCGCAGACGAGTGGTCATGGCAGCTGGTACAGTATCTTCACGAGAAGCCAAATCTTCTTCTGCAGATGGATAAGTAATTGGAAGCTGGAAAATGTAGTACAAATAAACTACAGTATTATATTTCTTTTGCAATTTCTAAAATGAGGCTCTAGTTTTAAGCAAATATTTTACAGACCTGTCTAAGGAAGTGCTCTCTTGATGCACCATCAGAGCCACTTGGTCGACGCCCACGTCGTCCAAGACTTTGACTGTCTGACTTCCGACTCCAGCAACTGTTCTTGTCTGATGTAAACAGTCCAAATTTTTTATTGCAAGTAACACTGTGCCTAAGGAAACAAAATATATTCAATGGTGTATTGCTAATTCCATAGAATTAAGTTTAAAAAAAAATCAGTATAAACAATGTTTTATGCTTCCTACACAAATGTAATCTTGCTTGATGGAACGTGTTTCTTCCAATCCTGTTTCCCTAAAAAAGTTGGAGACATGCAATAGGGCTTGACCTGCATGCTAATACTTGTATATTCTTTGAGTCAGCAATACCTATTATTAAGATTACTCTTAATTTTTAGTAGGGACAAGATGTCTATTGTGGTTGTACATATAATTGCTATTATCCAGATTCAAGCATATATTAGCATTGATTTTTACAGTGTGCTCATTTTGAGGATAACTATGCTGCTGCTTTTTCCTCCTCATCAGAATTTAGCTATATTAAAAACAAACAAAAATAGTATTTTGAACAGGTGGCACCAAAAGATGATCATGTTTTGATAGCTTATTACCAAAAATGATAGGACATGGTTACTTACCAGTAACTGAAGATCTCCAATATATTTTCTCTGCAGAGCCACAAACTTACTTCACAGATAATCAAACCATTGCCAGCTGCAGCAAAAATTATCTGCATTTCCCACCCAGAGATGTTCTGGTAGGTAAATCTTGTGTGCACTAGGAAATTTATAAGATTAACACAAGATGCCCCAATACAATCACTCTCTCCATGGGGTTCCAAGTGACATTGCCTTTAGGTTCAAACCTGTGCCTCTGTTTCAATTTCAGACGAGCCTAACTCAAATTCCTATCGTAGAGAAGAAAATGTCTGGAGCCAGTACAGAGCTGCAGAGGTAATATAATTGGAGAACTTCTACTACAATTATGTAATATACTGTTTTCATCCCTCTCATGAAACCAACTCCACAGAGCCCAATCTTCGAGCAAACGGTGAACCCTTAGGTTAAAGACATGAACAGAGACAAAAGCACTGGCCCCCTTAATAAGAATATCCAACCTTGTAATCCAATAGAAACAATTCTTTATAACAGCATAAATTTAATTTGAAATGGTAATTTTCCACAAATGACATAAGTTTAGCTAAAGACCAGTGATTGCCAGTCTTCCAGTAAAATGGATTCTAGTGAAAAATGGACTCTAAGATATGTCTTCTCTGCAGAGGTAACTGAATTATCAACACTCAAGTAGTTTCTCATGAATTAGTTTAGCTTGAATGAAAGTAGCCATACTGAAAAATATTGTTCATGTGCTGCACTAAGATTTGTAGAGACATGCCCCATAGTTCTTTGCACTGCAAAAAGCTAAGCTGCTCTGTGACTTCTTTCCCAAAGAATGTGGAAGAACAGGTCTATTATTTCTGGGAACAAGAGGAAATGATGGGATGCCACTGAGGACTAATGGCACTGAAATACAGGATGGACTCGGACTAGCACCAGAATGGTTGTGGTAGAAGCCGTTGTGCTAACTTGAGCTGTTGCATGAACTCCTGATTAGCCAGCCAATTCAACTGAAAAGCACTACCCCCTTGAATTAAGGAGGGTATTTGCATGTGACTCAAATTATAACTCAAATTAATTGCAGTGAAGACAAGCCCCTAATAATTCTGGCACTAGAACACAATATGAATACATAACTTGGTCCATTTTGATGATTTCTAAACTTCAGTGGAGACGTTCGTTTTCTCCCCAATGCTACAAACAAATTAGGTGACTTATAGAAAGGTTTATATTTCTATCTCAATTTACAAACAGAGACAGAGCATTCTTGTAACATTTAACCAATGGATTCTGAATCTGGCTTTTCATTAAAAAAAATCACAGGGTCTAAGGGTATGTCTACACTAGCCCCCTAGTTCGAACTAGGGAGGCTAATGTAGGCATTCGAAGTTGCAAAAGAAGCCCGGGATTTATTTGCATCTTCTCGTCCGATCACCATTTTGAAATTTCACTAGTCCGGACTAACTACCTACGGCTACACACGGCAGGGAGCCGGTAGTTCGAATTAAAGCCCCTAATTCTAACTACCTGTTATTCCTCCTGCAAGGAGGTTTAACGGTAGTTTGAATTAGGGGCTTTAATTCGAACTACTGGCTCCCTGTCACATGTAGCCACGGACAGTTAGTCCAGACTAGTGAAATTTCAAAATGGTGACCGGACGGGAAGATGCAAATAAAGCCTGGGATATTTAAATCCCGGGCTTCATTTGCAACTTCGAATGCCTACATTAGCCTTCCTAGTTCAAACTAGGGGGCTAGTGTAGACATACCCTAAGAAATTAAAAGTTAAAACAAATGGTTTTGGATGAAATTTCCTGTAAGGTAGCATAAAAAAGGAACAGCCTCAAGGGCATAGATTAACTGACCCTTCTAGCTGGTGTAATGACAATTACTATGCAATTTTCAAAGAATAATGGAGAAAACAGCCACTTAGCAGAGCTAGTCAATTTTTTTTCAAATGTAGGTGAAAAATGGCAACAAAAAAAAAAGAAGAAATTTTTGTGGTTTTCCTCCTCCACTTTTTAAAAATAGCTCAGTTTATCAGTACACATAGGAGTTAATTGGATCAAATTGAAATCCTGAAGACTTCTACAGTTAAAAATGAGAAAATAGAAGTGTGACATCCCCTTAAGGAACAGTTCTCCATTCTCTTGTCAACACTTTGTATGATAGCCCACAGGTACATGGTAAACTTAAAATGACTGTCATATGTATTCTAATGCTAGACAAAAAACATGCCATCTTTGTCATACAGAAAGGGTAACCAAAAGTAACTGTGACTGGATAAATAGCAGAATCAATATTTTTAGGACTTGAATACTCCTTTAAACATTTCCATTTCAAAGTATAACAGTGCCAAGTGAAATGCCTTCTGGATGTCAAAAAGAAACTTTCTCCAGCCTCCACTCAGATCTAGGATGGAATTCTATGCAGACTATGAATGAATAGATTGTAGAGAGAATTTAGCCAAACCCTCAAAGCAGATGCATAAGAAGTCTAATAAATGGCACTGAGTTAGTGCAACAGGCTCTTACTAGAAAGCTGTGATACAATTGCTTTCAGCCCCAAAGGGTTGAAAATAAGCATGTTATCTTGCTGCTGTGATTGACAGTGATCTGATACAAGTCTTATGAGCCAGCTGTTCAAATAAAAAGATACTTGTGATCTTTAGCAACAAAGGCAGACAGCTACAACTGCTCAAATAGCTAGGGTGAGGAGCAGAAAGCTTTGGAGCCTCCTCATCCTGAGGCATCAACTGAGGTCAGCGGAATCAAGAGGTTGTGTGGTGTTTTAGATGCTGCTTGTAATTATTAGAACTGCGAGTATTACCTCTTGTTGGAAGTCTGGAAAAACAAGAAACAGGAAGAAGGGGGGAGAAGATTAGCCGGGGGCTGAGAGAGAGCTACAGAGGGATGTAGCAGCTTTGTAAAGAGGTTTCACTTTTGGTAAATAAAGTCCTGTTGAAGTTTGCTAGTACCTTGCTTGCACGATACTACATGCGACAAGGATGGATCTTCTGCTTCTAAACCCACCTGCACCCTTTCTGCAAAGTACAGGTGAGCCTCCAATTGATTTTACTGCCTGGATTCATATGTTTGAGACTTATCTGCTTGCAATCAGTGCTACAGAGATTTCTGAAGTAAGAAAATGTGTTCTGCTAATCCACTGCCTTGGAGCAGAAGGGCAGAGTATATTTTACACTTTTCTCCTTGCAGATGATAAATATGAGACTGCACTCACTGCGTTAAAGAACCTTTTTGTGCCAAAAGTGAACACAGTAGCTAATCACTACAGATTTCGCCAGCGTGAGCAGAAACTAGGGGAGACTATAATGCAGTATATTGCTTCTCTGAGGAGTCTGATTGTAACTTGTGACTTTGGGAATATGGCAGATATGATCATTAGAGACCAGCTCATTGAGAAAACAACCATACTCAGTGTAAGAGAACGCTTGCTTTTAGAACCACAACTTACACTGGAAAAAGCAATAACCATTGCTATCCAGACTGAGTCAGCAATAGCAGAAGCCAAAATAACAAGCATTGACAAAGGCAGCCCAGTCCAGGCTGAGACTCCTTTGCAGAAAAGTCCACTATCAATTGGAGACAAAAAATTACAAGAAGAAAGCTAATGAAAAACCACAGAATCAGCAAATTCAACGCAAAGCAAAAGCATGCTTTCGCTGCTGATCCCCACAACACCTCGCAAGCTACACAAGATGTCCTGCAAAAGTAGCTCAGTGTAATCAATGCAAAAATATTGGGCATTTTGCTAAGGTATGCTGCAGTAGCCAGTCCAATCAACAGAGGTCAATGGAGGGATGAATGGAGGGATGATAGGAGTTACTATAGAGAACTTTCTGGGTGTCTGGCTGATGAGTCTTGCCCACATGCTCAGGGTTTAGCTGATCGCCATATTTGGGGTCGGGAAAGAATTTTCCTCCAGGGTAGATTGGCAGAGGCCCTGGAGGTTTTTCGCCTTCCTCTGTAGCATGGGGTACAGATCACAGCTAGAGGATTCTCTGCATCTTGGGGTCTTCAAAGTATTTGAAGGCTTCAATATCTGAGATATAGGTGAGAGGATTATTCTAGGAGGGGTGGGTGAGATTTTGTGGCCTGCACTGTGCAGGGGGTCAGACTAGATGATCATAATGGTCCCTTCTGACCTTAAAGTCTATGAGTCTATATATGCAGTTACAATACCAGATGTTACCCTGCTGAGTGTGGACAAAATCACTACTGCACATATTCCAGAACAGATAAGGTGCACCATATATGTTTCTGCCACATCTTCAGGCAAATCACACCCTATTCAGCTAATGTTGGACACCGGCTCAGCAGTATGTATACTGATTCCATCTATTTGCATTACTTTAAAGATGTGCCTCTTACTAACCTCAAACTTCACTTGATGTGCTATTTGAAAAACCAAATTCCAGTACATGGCTGGCTGTCAGCAACGGTGACTTTTGGTGACTGCTGTGTAACTGCAGAGTTCTACATTGTCCACAAAGGCTCTCCTATCCTTGGCAGAGAT